CCCTGCCCCACCCCATGGCAGTCTTTAAACCAGACGAGGCCGGTAGAAATATGTTTGTTTTCCTCACTGGAGACACTGGAAGGGGCAAGGGATGGTAGGCGGTGTCAAGGGCAGAGCTGGTCGTTTTGCCGGCCAACGAGGGAAAGGAAGTACCCAAGAAACAAGCAGCTTGTTAGATATGGGGGGAAAAATGAATCCTTCTGCTTTGGTTTTTGTTCTGGGCTTTTAGGAATCTGTGGGTGGACTGGAGCTGGCAGGCAGAGAAAGAGCACCCACCAGCCACAGGGTTGAATAGTTCACAAGTTTACTCGACTGTTTGTGTGCCAGAAATGGCTGGCTGTGGAGCCAAGAAGGAAGAAAGAGAATGACAGTAGGGGGCAAGAGCCCTTCCTTCCTTCCTTCCTTCCTTCCTTCCTTCCTTCCTTCCTTCCTTCCTTCCTTCCTTCCTTCCTTCCTTCCTTCCTTCCTTCCTCTCTTTTCTTCCTTCCTCTCTTTCTCTCCTTCCTTCCTTTTTCTCCTTCCTTCCTTCCTCCCTCCCTTCTTTCCCTTTCTTCCTCTTCCTTCCTCTAATTCCTTTCTTTCTTCCTCCCCTTCCTTCCTTCCTTTCTTTCTCTTTCCTTCCTTCCTTCCTTCCTTCCTTCCTTCCTTCCTTCCTTCCTTCCTTCCTTCCTTCCCTTCCTTCCTCTTTCTAGTTCAAGATAAATGAATAATAATCAGAATAAAGTGGTACATCCTGTTAAGCAGGCTAGATGTCACGAGATTTATGAGTAGTTGTTGAGCCCACAGAAGGGGTCCTTTTGAGAAATGGATCTCTCTCTCTTTTTCTCTCTCTCTCTCCCCCCCTCCCTTTCTCCCTCCCTCCCTCCCCCCCTCTCTCTTCCATCTGTTTATGCCATGGAAATAGAGAAGCTTGTTTATTTGTCTGCTGTTCTGTTGTGGGCAGCCATTCCCTCATTCTCTCCTAACCAGCCATAATTGGAGCTTTAATCATTTGTACTGTCTCGTCTCCTTCTTCCTTGCCTTCACTATTTCCTCGTGTGTCATCGCTTTTAGTTTTTAAGGCTGAAAGCAGAGGCCACTTCCTGGGGCATGTTTATAAGCAGTTTTGTGTCAAAAAGAAGGGGGGGGGACTCTACACCTATCCACCTGTTGTGTTTGAGCTTGTGCAGAAAGTATATACAGGCAGTCCTTGGTTTCTGACCACAACCGAGGCCAAAATTTCTGTTGCTAAGGGAGACATTGGTTAAATGAATTTTGCTTCGTTTTATGACCTGCCGATTGTTAAGTGAATCTGGGCTTCCCCCCCCCTTGACTTTGCTTGTCAGAAGGTCACAAAAGGGGATCCCATGACCCCGGCACACTGCAACCGTCATAAATACGAGTCAGTTGCCATTTTGATTTTGATCACGTGACCCTGGGGGATGCTGCAATGGTAAATGTGAAAAACGTAAGTTGCTTTTTTCAATGCCATTGCAACTTTGAACAGTCACTAAGCGAACTGTTGTAAGTTAATGACTACCTGTACATTGAACCTAGTTGAGAGGGCTGGAAAGGGAAGATCAACTTTCTAAATAAGAGGAACTAAGTGTGAAGATGCTTAAACACAAAAGACGCAGTTGTGGCTGTCTCCCTAAAGCCTCACTTGGAGGTAAACTTTCCCAAATGTGGGGCAAATACTTTCCTAATTTTGAGCAAATGTTTAAAACCACTTGGATGGGCCCCGTTTGCTCACCTCAACTCAGATGCCCTTTCTAAAATTCTAGGCTACAAACCAAATTTGTGTTGGTTAAAAAAAATAAATAAAAATCTGTTGTTTTCTTCCTGGACCTCAGTTTGGGATTGTTATCAAAACAAAGGCTGCATTGTGGCATCTGTGAGTTCAGATGCTTTGTGTTCTCAAGTCCAATGAATGCCACTGGATTCAGCCACCACCGAAAACGTGAATTCAAACCTTCACCCCATTTCTTCCCATCCAGAGAGTCTTTTCTTAAACCCAACAGCTGGATTTTGTAGATCCAGATACTGGGTCGGCGTGATAGAACGGCTGAAGGCTTATCTCACCCATGGTTTGTCTATTTGTCAGAGGTTGAAAGTCAGGGTTTAGGTGACAAAATGGACACTGGGTTGCAGTTACGGATGTTCAGCAACTGATAAAATGGAATTATGCCAAACCCAAGTTTGTTAGGAGGTCATTTAAAGCCGTTTCTCTGTTGCCTTTTTCATTAGCTTTCTACATTGGTTGGCGATGTTTTTTAAGATTTGAAGATTTCAGAAACAAGTACCATGGCACTACGGCTTTTCCCGGGACACGAACCTTTAACAAAGCTTTAAAACTCCACTGGACGATTAAAACATTTAGAAATACAGGTAGTCCTTGACTTACAACAGTTCATTTAGTGACCGTTCAAAGTTACAAACGCACTGAAAAAAAAATGACTTAGGACCGTTTTTCACAATTTATTTATTTATTTATGAGACTTATATACCGCTTTAAGTGCAAGCACTCTCTAAGCGGTGTACACCAGTAAGCAATGTATATATATATATTTACATTGCCCCCAACAATCTGGGTCCTCATTTTACCTACCCCGGAAGGCTGGAAGGCTGAGTCAACCTTGAGCCGGGTGAGATTTGAACCGCTGACCTGCTGAACACAATTGTGACCTGTGGCCATATGATCGAAATTCAAACGCTTGGCAGCTGACTCCTATTTATGACGGTTGCAGTGTTTCCCTTTTGCGACTGTCTGACAAGCAACGTCAGTGGGGGAAGCCAGATTTACCTAAAACAACCGTGTGACTAATTTAACAACTGTGCTGATCCATTTAAGAACCGTGGCAAGAAAGGTCGTACAATGGGGCAAAACTCACTTAGCAAATTTTCACTTGGCAACAGAAATGTTTGCCTCCGTTGTGGAGGACCAGCTGTAGCATCTCCACAAAATAACTCTGTCATGTCACAACTGACTCTGTGTGGTGCATGCAGGAGGATGAAGGAAAGGTTCACACTCAGAATCTCACAGTTTAAAATCCACACCAGTAGGGGGTGATCTTTCCCATGAGTCTCACAGAAATTGGGATAAGAAAGGTGAGCATCTTCTATATTAAATATTAGGAGGGCGGGCAAATTAATTCTGTCATCTTAAAAAAGAATGTTCAGTTTACTGCCTCTTCCCCCGGGGGGCAGATTTAATCTCTGCATGTTTTGCCTCGCCTTTAACATACAAGGAAACCTTTTGCATTTGTTTTTTCTTTTTTTTTACAGCGCCATAATAAATAGTGTAACATTTAAAAAGAATATAGTTTGTTTACTTGGGACTAAGAGAAAGTGGCTACAAAATATAAAATGCTGCTTTTGTGTTGAGACAGTTATGGATGGTAGAACTCCTGCTGAAAATGTGGGGCTTTTTTAAAGGCTGCACTTGACGACATTTAATTGCAGGTATAAACTAATGAATTAAAATATGAGGATGCTGCACCGAGAAAAACATTTTCTCAATGCCTTTGTAACTTCAAACTGTCACTAAACGAGCAGTTCTAACTCAAGGACTATCTATGTTAGGGTGTATCTGAGCTGCAGAGAGATCAGAGGTTTAATCACAGATTATCTTTCCCACATTCTACTTCCTCAATTCGGCTATATGCCTTTTGCAGTGGGGCTGGCAATATATTTCTCCCCGGTTAACTTAGGCTCCATTGTATATATCCTGCAATTTGCTCCTCCGTTGAGGTTTAATTTTGGGCTTGCTTTTTCTTCAGGAACTCCAGGCGATGCTCGTGAGACGACTCGTCAACGACAGCCCTGTGAGGTAGGTCGAAAAGAATCAAACTTCCCTCCTCCCCCAGTGAGTTTTCTTTCACTGAGCCCATGCCAAACCACTAGGCCTCACTACCCCCAGGTAACGTTTAGCTCAGTGGTTCTCCACCTGTGGGTCGGGACCCCATTTGGGGTCGAGCGACCATTTCAGGGGGGTCGCCAAACAACGCAGTCCGCCATTTTTTCCCCCTTTTCCTTGGCTGTGCTCCTCCCTTTTATTCCATTGGCTTTTGAAAGCCAATAGAATAGACTCTCTTGAATAGAGTCTAATTCTATTGGCTTTCAAAAGCCAACAGGAATTGTCCAGTCTGTCTCTGCCCTGCTGAGCCCGCCAAAAGTCCCCTTCTGCAAAAGGTGCTGCACCAGTTGAGTAGTCCTCGACTTACGACCGGTTGAGTAGTCCTCGACTTACGACCGGTTGGGGGGGTCGCGGCATTAAAAAGGTTGAGAACCACTGATTTAGCTGGCCTCCACCAGATCTTTCTAATAATCGATTCGCCTTCTTCTTCGCCCGCCCTCTCCCCGCGTCCCTCCAACCACCTTTTTTGCAAAGGACACTTAAGAGGTGAGCCCTGACATGCGTGTGCAGGTTGCAGAACCGGCTCTACCACACGGTAGCGGCTTTGGCATCCATCGCGGAAGAGCCACCCGGATTGGTGTGTCTTCCTCCCGCATTTATCCTTCCCGCCCAGGGGAGGTTTTGTATGAAGAGTCAGGATGAATCCTTGCCCAAGCGGCTGGTGTAAGGGACAGGTTGGTAGGCAGCTCTGTACGCTGAGGCCTGGGCTGACCCCCACCTGTCCCCCTTTACACCTGGGCGGTGGGCGGTCCTCCGTGCCTGCATGCCTGAGCATCCCACGTGCTTCCACCTGCAACCCCCCCCCCCACCACCCTTTCCTTTCAAGGAAAGCCAAGCGCAAAAAAGCCTGCCCTGCCGCTTGCCTTTCTGCGCAGGCCTGAGGTCTGGCAACCGCACGCTTTATCCTCCTCCTCCCTCCCTCCCTCCCTCCCTCTGGCAAGGCAGCTCTTCGCCGTCCAGCCGGGCTGCTCTTCTCCCCCTCCCTTTTGCGCTCTGTCTGGTCCGCGCGCCCGCGCGCATGCGCGTGCCTCTTCGCTCGCCTTTTGCGGAACGAGGAGGCGGAGGAGGCGGAGGAGGAGCAGCAGCAGCGAGGCGGGGGGAGGCGGCGCCGGTTCCTGGAAGAGCCCAGCCTGGGGAGTTGGTCACATTCTTGGCTGGCATTCAAGAGCTGAGCAGACACCAACAAACAGAGGGGAGGCGGCGGCGGCGGCGGCGGCGGCCGGAAAGGAGGAGGAGCAGCAGCAGCAGCAGCAGCGCCCAGCCCGCCCGATCGTCCTCAGTCCGGGCTGGAGCGGGCAGACGAGCGAAGGTGAGCAGGGCCGGGCGCCGAGACAGAGGGGCGGAAGGCGCAGCCGCGATCAAAGGCCACCCGGTCCGTGCCAGACAGCAGCACCAGCCCAGCAGCAGCCCCAGCAGCGGCGGCGCTTCCCCCGGTTCGGAGGCGGCCAGCGGAGAAAGCCCTCGCGGCTGGGGAAGAGGACGATCCGGGACCCCGCTGCCTCCCCTTCTCTCTCTGCCCGATCTGCGAAGGGGGCCATGGACAGAAAGGCAGCCGCTTCCCCGCCGCCCGGAGTTGCTGCTTGGACCTCGGACGACGCGCCCCGGGGTTGCTAACAGCCTCCCCCCCCCAGCCAGCCTTTATTTTATTTTATTTTATTTTGACTCCCCCCTCCTTCCTCCTCCAGAGCGGTCTGCGGTTCTATTCCCCCCCCCGGAGGCTATTTTTGGGGGGTGGGGGGAAGAGGGCTTTTTTTTTTTTTCCTCCCCGCGGGGGCAGCGGGAGCGAGCGCGCGTCCTCCTCCCCCCCCCCACCAGCACCAGCGTCGGGCGGACCTCGCCGGCTCGGCTGGGAGCGCTTTCCCTCTCGCCCCTTCTTTTTATAACTTTTCCCTCTCCCCCCGCCCCTTCCCCGAAGATCTAGTTTTCTCTCTCTCTCCCTTTCGCTTTCTCCTCCCCTGTTTTTGGCTCTTTGGCTGCTTTGGCTCCGGGGGCCGAGAGAGAGAGAGAAAAAAATTCCTTTTTCCCCCCTGAAAGTTGGGAGGCCAGGGGCGTCGGGGGCAGAGCGCAGCCAAAGAAGAAGGAGCGCCCGCGCATCCCCAGGAAGAGAGACGGGAAATGTGAGAGTCGGTGGCGCTCGCCCCTCCGGCCTTCGAGGACAGCGGCGTCCCATCGGAACGAAGGAGGGCGGCTTGGGGGGGGCTGTGGTTGGTCTTTTTTGGGGGCCCCCACCCTTCCCCGTCTGCCTTGCGCTCGCCTTTCCTCCCCCCTTGGAAGAGCCCGCCCCGCCAGAGAGAGAGAGAGGGGGAGAGGACGCCTCTTCTTCCCCGAGGCTGGAACTGGGGCGCGTTTCCCGGGGGGCCCCCCAGGCCAAAGGAAAAATTCGGCGCCGCAGGAACCAGGGACGCGGGGGGGCCGGCAAGCCGGCGAAGATGGAGACGGTCCCTCGGAGCGGCTTCCAGCCTCACCCGGGCCTGCAGAAGACCCTGGAGCAGTTTCATCTCAGCTCCATGAGCTCGCTGGGCGGGCCGGCCGCCTTCTCGGCCCGCTGGGCGCAGGAGCTCTACAAGCGCGAGAGCGCCAAGGAGGCGGCGGTGGCGGCGGCTTCCTCCGTGGCCCCCGAGCCGCCCCTGCCGCCGCTGCCCCCCATCCCGCCGCCCCCGCCGCCGGTGATGGCCGGCCCCTTCTTCATGCCGTCGGACCGCTCGACGGAGCGCTGCGAGACCGTCCTGGAGGGCGAGACCATCTCCTGCTTCGTGGTGGGCGGCGAGAAGCGGCTCTGCCTGCCCCAGATCCTCAACTCGGTCCTGCGCGACTTCTCGCTCCAGCAGATCAACTCGGTCTGCGACGAGCTGCACGTCTACTGCTCCCGCTGCACCGCCGACCAGCTGGAGATCCTCAAAGTCATGGGCATCCTGCCCTTCTCGGCGCCCTCCTGCGGCCTCATCACCAAGACGGACGCCGAGCGCCTCTGCAACGCCTTGCTCTACGGGGGCGCCTTCCCGCCCGGCCGGTGCAAGAAGGAGCTGGCCGGCGGCGGCGGCGGCGCCCTGGAGCTGGACCTGGAGCTGACGGAGCGCAGCTTCAAAGTCTACCACGAGTGCTTTGGCAAGTGTAAGGGCCTGCTGGTGCCCGAGCTGTACAGCAGCCCCAGCGCCCCCTGCATCCAGTGCCTGGACTGCCGGCTCATGTACCCGCCGCACAAGTTTGTCATCCATTCCCACAAAGCCCTGGAGAACCGAACTTGCCACTGGGGCTTCGACTCGGCCAACTGGCGAGCCTACATCCTCCTCAGCCAGGATTATGCCAGCAAGGAGGAGAAAGCCAGGCTGAGCCAGTGCCTGGACCAGATGAAGGAGAAGTTCGACTACAGCCATCGGTACAAGAGAAAGGCACCCAGGGTGAGCCAGGGCTTGGGGAGGCGAGAGATCTCTAATTTTTTTTTGGGGGGGGGGAACGGACTTGGGGCCAGGTGGTGCCTTCAAGAGATAGTGCCGGGCAATTGGGATTTCTGGTGTGGTTGGTGTCAAAGCGAGATTCGAACTGTAAGCCCAAAGTCCTGCAAGGGGCGAGGTTGCTTGCACTTGGCACATTTGCATCTTGGCAAACATTGGATATAGCCAATCCATCAAGCTCCCTTATCAGGCGTGGGTCAGTTTTTCTACCCTGCTCCCTGGTTGGGGCTTATGGGATTCCGACCTTTCTGGCGTTAACATGACTTATCTGAGGACCGTGAGTGAACGTAGATGATGTTCTCGGATCTGCTTAAGGCAGTTGTGCTGTGCCAGGTGGTCTTTTTTTTTTTTGCATTTGGAAGCAAGTTGTCTGGAGTATTTGCTTGGGTAAAAAGATGAAGTGTAAATCCAAGCTACGTGCCTTTGCTCTGGATGGGAAAGGCTGGCTTTTAAGTAAGCGTTTAGCTGTACTTCTGGCTTGTGTCTCTGTGTGTGAATCTCAAAAATTGGCTTTGTGCACACAGAGGAGGCTTTTGCTGTGCCAAAACTCAGCTTGCAGTAATGTGGGTGAAGCAGAACCTTTGGTGTGTAAATGAGGTTTACAGATATGCCAAAAAAAAAAAAAAAAGGACACATCAGAACTCTGGATGAGGTTTGCAAGTAAAAATTAAGTGGAAAGGTACAGATTTGGGAGACTTTGCGCAAAGTGTTTTGTCCATCTTTGGGAACCAGCTGAATGCAGTGACTTTTTCTATCAAAATAAGTCCTTTGTCTTTTTAATTTGAGGAATACAGCGGGAGTCTCAAAATTGGAATCAGTTGTGCCTGCGTCCTTGGGTCAAAGAAAAGATGTGCCGTTAGCTGTTGTGTCTTTCTGCATTCTTATATGCCCTTGCCTTTCTGGTTTCTGGTCTGTATGCTGTATTTTATGATTAAATTTACACAGGGCACACAGAAAAGGTTTGCTTTGCTGCAGGGGCATTTCTTAAAAATGGAGAATTATATTGCGTGGTGTGTTCTGTCTGTAGTTTTCATCGATCTGCAGTAAATCTCAGGACTCTATAAACTGCATGAACTTTAAAAGAAAGAAGGAGTTAATTAATCTTTCATCCTTCCAATTTAGCAAACAGGGGAGAGAGTTGCCATATTATCCATTATTGCTGATTTGAAGAAATCCAAGGTGGTTTTTTTTTTTTCCCTCTCCAGCAGTCTGTCTCTTTAGCATTTCACATAGGGAGAAATTTTAACCCATCACTGAACACACAATCCGAGTGATTCTGATTGTACTAATTCAATGCACTTATAAACACAATTGGGGTTTAGGATTGTGTGTGCACAGACTATTTTTGATGCTCAGCATTGTCTGCTTGTGGCTGTCTTGCCAACAATTTTTGTGCATGGGTTAAATATACACTCCGGAAATCAATGTGTCCTAATCTGGGCTGCTACACTTACTTTTCAACCATGCCAGCCAGGCAACTGGCTGGGGAGTCTGCCCAGCCAGACAGCTTGAGAGTACATTGGTACAATATCCTCTTTATTTCATCTGCAACCGTGTTCAGTTCCCAGAATCCCTGGGGTTGGCGGTTGGGTGAGAAAGTGGTGCGGTACGGAAGCCCTGCCTTGGCACCAGGCCTGGGGAATAAAGTAGAAAGGTTGTGGATCTCTTGAAAAAAAAAAAAATTGTGGATGGTCCAGCAATTTAGTCTGCCTCCCCGTTGCCTTAAAAAAACAAGAGTAAAATGTAATGCAAAAGGGAAGAAATTTTCAATTAGCTCTGTAACTGTGCAGGATGGCCAAATTGCCTCTGAACCGTGGGGATTTACAGATCTATAAATCTGAAGAAAAATAATCGCTTGATTGCTGGCAGGTGGAGGTGGGGGACCCACTCAGCAAAGGCTTTTTCTATTTAAATTCCTGTGCATCTATTTTAGAGGAACCCACCCACTCACCCACAACTAGTCTGCAGAAAGCATGCACCACAAAAGAGCCCAATAAATTAAAAAAAAAAAGAATTAAAAGGAGCAGAACAAAGGGACAAATTAAAAAAAAAAAACCTCACTTCCTCCTTATGTTTGCTCTTTAGTTTCCACTTTTTGAAGAAGAGGAAGCCATTTTTCTGGGGACTTCCCCCCCCTTCTTTTCCTTTCCTCCACCCTCGTCTCCCAGAGCGTCAATGGGAGAGCTATTGTCAGAACATTGGAGTCTAAAGGCTGCACATTATCTCTCATAGACCAGGCTGGATGCAGCGTTAATAGCTTCTCTCTCTTTGGCTAATCATGTGCTAAAAGTAGCCATTGCAGAGTGCCAGTCCTGGGTTATGAATAGGAAAAGAAGAAACAGTGAAAACTGGTGTATTTGAGGGGTGGGAATACTTTTTATTGTAAGTCCTAGCATTTGGGGGGGGGGGGTTATCAAAACTGTCTTTGGTGATCCAGGAGTATAAACTAAAATGTACATTATGTAGCTTCATATGAATCCTTGGTCTGCCACATAAAGCATCACTTTTGGAGACTAGCTAGCCTTTTAAACAAAGCTTTTGAGCTGCGAAATAATCCCCAAATGGTGGGAATGACTTGGACTTTGGAAATGAACAAATATCCCTGGAAGTACCCGTGAGGGTCATCTAGTCCAACACGTGGACTCTTATTCCAGACAGTGAGCGAGCAGTGTGTCTGGAGAGTGTGTCTGTGATTCGCTTTCTCATTATTTTTTTTCACTGTACCATAAAGCTTGTGGATGTTCCTCTTTTAGGAAATGTCCATGAATGCTGGTAAAAATATTTCCCTCCTGTGGTTCTAAAATTGATACCATCTGCTTTGGTTTAAACGAGCGAAGACGAGACAGGTAGACTCCCACAGTTACTATCTTGTGATAATAGAGCGGACTTAACCGTCATAAATACGAGTCAAGGTGCCAAGCGTCTTAATTTTGGTCATGTGACCACCGGGATGCTGCAGTGTGAAAAGTGTGAAAAATAGTTATAAGTCACTTTTTTCACTGCCATTGTAACGTTGAATGGTCACGAAACGAAGAGTTGTACGTTGAGGACTGCCTGTACTTACTAGTTAGTACTGACTGAGGAATTCTGGGAGTTGAAGTCCACACATCTGAAAGTTGTGAAGGCTGAGAAGCACTGATCTGTATTTTATTTATTATTTACTGCTGGAGTTCAGTCTTATTTCTTTTGGCACTTCCTGGCCGTTTTAACTTTTTTCTTTATTTTTCTTGGGATTACATCTTTCCCATACGGACTTTGAAATCTTTGAAAGCCACTTCTGGACTTTGTTCTTCTGTGTTTTCCCCCCCCCACCTCCTAAAGTGTGGTATGTTTCTTTTGCCTGTGTTTCTTTTTCTTGGGTTTTCTCCCTTTTCCGTGATATGCTTACTTTTTGAACAACTGCAGACAAGAGCTGGCTGGTTCCTATTTTGTGTTTGTTTGATGTATCTGAAAAAAAAAGAAGCCTTTCTCAGTTTCTGGGTATTTTGAAGTGCTTTTGCTTTACAGCCTTTTTGTCATTGGCATGCTGATTAAAGGAGCTTAAAGTAGATGCCTACAATATCAGAAAGATACCAGGTTGCCTACTTTTGAACCAATCTGTCTGTGCTTTCCTGTAATTTACATTAACACAAGAATTCTGAAGTTTTACGGCCGCTGAAATCACCAGGCTGTATTGAATCTGCATCCAGCACTAAACCAAGATAACTATTTCTTTTGCACTGAGCTAGATAGAGCTTTGGCTTAGTGTATTGTGCAAACTTAGTCGTTATGTTTTATAAGCCATGATTTATAGCTCAGTTTTGCGTCAGCCAGGCTATTTGGATTTAATGGGATAGGTGGTTCTGGCTGGGTTTACTCTGTTAAACTGCAGTGGTGTGCTGGCTCAGGAATTCTGGGATTTGAAGTCCACGAGTCATAATAGAGCCAAGGTTGCCTACCCCTGCTCTAGGTCAAGTTGTATGGGGAAGAGATGCAGATGTGCACATTTACAGGTAGTACTTATAACCACAATGGAGCCCAACATTTATGTCGCTAAGCGAGACAGTTCTTAAGTGAGTTTTGCCCCATTTTATGACTTTCCTCACTGCAGTTGCAGATCAGGTGGCCTTGGGACACTGCAACCATCATAAGTACATGCCAGTTGCCAAGTGTCCGATTTTGATCACGAGACCATGGGGCTGCAATGGTCGTAAGTATGAAAAAATGGTCATAGGTCACAGTTGTCACTTCGAACGGTCACTAAACGAATGGCTGTAATTGAGGGGAAGGTGTCAGGATAAAGAAGGCCCGTTTACACATATGGAATAAATAAATATATAGGAAAAATTAGTACTCGCCTATCAGGATATTTCTATTTGACTGTCAAGGATGCTGTTCAGGGAATTATAGAATGTAAGCATTTTGTTTTAATAGAAATGTGTGAAACACAACTTCCTTTCCAAAGGTTTAAAGGAAATCCCTAGAGACTTCTTGAACCGTTGTGGTTGAGGTGTGGAAACATGCCCAGAGAGAATGACAGAATTTTTTTTTTTTTTTTTTTTTGCTCGTGGCTTTAGAGTTGAATAACAGTATTGGTCACCAATAAATAATAATAAAATAACAGTTGAGCAGATACAAGAAGAAGAAGAAAAAAAACCAACCTGATTGGATTCCCGTGGAATTGTGTGCCTCGATCAATACAAAAGACATTTTTCCACCCTTCTTCCTCCTTTTCTCTTTTTGGTTTGTTCTGCAAACTTCTGCTCAAGTTAGCGGTATCACCTTAAAAGGATAAGGTCACAGACTCTTAATTGCCTCTTGGTTTCCCAATCCCTTTTTTTTTTGGCTAGCCAGTTTGTGTAATGTCTGTCTCAAACAGTTGAGTAAGGGCATTGAAGCAGCAGACAGGATGTTAAGTGTTCAGAAGTCTGGGTGAAATATAACAGAAGCTCCAGTATGTTGAAGGA